TGTCTGGAATCTTTGTGGCATGATCACAAGACTCAGGCTTGAAGGAGGTCTCTGCACTGCCTCAGTTTCCTGGCAGATTCCAGTCCTATAACAGTCTGTATTCAGCACATCCTATAATGTCTGTAGAAATGGAATGGAGGCTGACTTCTAGCAAAAATACAACAAGTCATGGAAAAAGCTCTCCTGCCAAAATTTTGCAACAGAAAAATAAAACCCTATAAATTAATATAGAAGAAGTAAACCAAAAGATTATAAGTAATAATCTACTATTGACAGACAAATCATGTGCCCAATGATCTTATCAGAGCTATTTTAATACCCAGATTATAAATAAAGAAGTTCAGATATTTCACAACTTGTACACTTTGCCCTTTTTCAGAAACAGCTAAATCATTAGTCAGTCTATCTTCTAGTCTCCAGTCCCTAAAGACACAGCCAACCAAAAGCCAAAACAAATGTGAAGGCCATGCTGGCTTTTAGTTAGAGGTGGAAGGTAAAGAAATGAAAGGCAGTGAAACCTTCACCTGAATGCCATCTCTAAGGGGAGCCAGGATGCATATTCCTGAGGGAAAATAATAAAATGGATTCTCCAGTGGGCTCTTATGACAGATCAAGCTATTATTTGCTAGATATTCTACATAACAATTATAGATGTGCCCCACATGAAGAGAGCAATGCAGATGCAAGATGGCAGCCAGAGCAGAGATATGAGATGGCTAAGGAAGTGCACCCAGAGAAGAGGGAGCCCAGAAAACCTCTACAAGAAAGCCGAAATCTTTAGCAACTGATAGGATTCACTTCAGACTTTTATTTGCAGCTATCAAATCTTAAAATTTCTCTTACTACCTAGCATGAGGAAATAACTCTTAAAACTTCTTTGTTCTTTTCCTGGGAGATTTGTATTGTTTTAGATATACTGGATGTCCAAAAAACTCTACCAGATATGGTCAACAAACAAAAAAGTAAAAGAGGGGCTGGGGATGTGGCTCAAGTGGTAGCGCGCTCGCCTGGCATGCGTGAGACACTGGGTTCAACCCTCAGCACCACATAAAAATAAATAAAGATATTGTGTCCACCTAAAACTAAAATATAAATATTTTTTTAAAAAAAGTAAAAGAATTCCAAAAAGTGAAAAGATGAGAACAAAGCAACAGGCCCTCTCATCTGGCACTGGCAGGGATCAAGATGTTTTATAAGGGTAAGTTTTTCAGATAACCAAAACTTGAAGGATAAATGCAAACTTTTACAATTTTTAATATAAATTTTCTATAATGCATTATAACCATTTCAATCTTACAAACTCCAATTATCAAAAAGTGTGCTCTCAAAGGCTCCACAATATCAAGCTTTTTTGGTTTCTTTTACATCAGCTGTTCTAATTTCCCCATTATTCCAGTCTGCCATCAGAGAACCCCTTGAATGTCCACCCTCTTTCCAGACTCCTCAGGTAACATATTGCCTTTGAGTACTTTCCCTCATATTAAAAAGTTTTCCTGCCAGGCAGGTGGCATATACTTGTAATACCAGTGGCTTGGGAGGCTGAGGCAGGAGGATAACGAGTTCAAAGCCAGCCTCAGCAAAAGCGAGGCACTAAGCAACTCAGTGAAACCCTGTCTCTAAAACACAAAAAAGGGTTGGAGACGTGGCTCAGTGGTTGAGTGCCCCTGAGCTCCATCCCTGGTATGGGGGGAAAAAAAATTTTTTTTTCCCTTTCTTTTTTTTTTTTTTTTAATTATGAGATGAGGTAACTATGAAATAGAACCAAACCAAAGGCCAAATGTTCTCTCCAATATTCAGATGCTGACTCACAATAGGGTGGGAGTGGAGGTTCACCAAATTAGAGAAGGGGGATGGGGGAGGAGAATGGGAGGATGGGAATGGAAAATAAAGGGGAAAGTTATCACAATTACCCTTCTTTTTCTTTTCCTAATTTTTCAGTATATTGTATATTATACAATGACTGAACAGCTGATTACACAGAAATTTTGGGTTGAGTACTTTACTTCAGTCTTTATAAAAAAAAAAAAAGATTTTTTTTTTCATATTTAGGCCTGCCAAATCTATAATAAACATTTTTCTTAAAAAAAGATTTTGGGGGGCGTGTACAGGGAATTGAACCCAGGGATATTTTACCACTGAGCTGCATTCCCCAGACCTTTTTTTTAAAAAAAAAAAAAGAAAGAAAGAAAGAGAGAGAGAGAGAGAGAGAGAGAGAGAGAGAGAGAGAGAGAGAGAGAGAGAGAGAGA